CTCTCTCTCTCTCTCTCTCTAAATTTTTATCTTTACATCGATGGTATGTTTGTCTGTGTTGCTTAATGTGCTGCAAGTCGTAGATTTTGGTCCTCGCAATACGACATGCACTGGTGGTTACTTGAGTTCCCAGGTGTGTTTTGAATGAATTAGGAAAATTGTATCAAATGACTGCTATCAAGTGTATTTTTGAATGAATTAGGAAACTTTTATATCAAATGACCATGCCACACGTTTCCTAATATGATGGTGGACTAAAGCAGACACAGAAATGTAATCACAGACCACTCAGTGTATGGCGTGGTTGGTCTGATGTATTGTTAAGAGAGAGTAACTGTGTGTGGTTGTGATCGTTGTATTGTTATGCGAGTTATGTCCTTTATATCTGCGTGTATCACGTGACCATTAAGCTGAGTTAATCACGAATCACTCACGAACCACGGCAGTCCAGTTCAGAATAAACTCTCGAGTGAGTAAAAAAGTCGCACGCGTTGTGTTGCTGATGCTATAGTTGACTTCTTCACTGCTTCACCTGAGTCTGTGGAAGGACTTGAATGAGGTTAAAAGCAATGTTAAATAGTGCATCGGTAAAAAGCATTCATCATTTCTTTTTGTATACAGGTGAAGCTGCACTTTCACATACTCTGTCTATAAGATCTCTATAAAGCACAAAGTGATGCTGAGGCGTTCACATACTCACAGTCTCACCCACATGTAAAGTCCTGCAAGTGTACCCACTCAACTGTACTGTGATAGCTGTTTTACTCTTGTGTATATAATTGAGAAATAAACGATAACACAGAGAGGTCAAGATAGACGAGTTTAATGAACTTTTGTCGTTCGCTGAACACTGTGGTACAACTCTTCAGTATGTTGTTAACTCTTTCACTACGGCGACCAGTGTTTCATGGCTCGCTACTTCCTGCTTCAAAACTGCACCTTCTTTTGTAATGATCGAATCTGAAATCTCAGGCTGAAGATTGATCATTTTTAGCATCATGTTGAGATAGGTCATTATTTCCCCTTTATTTTCATATACAATACATGTGGCTAATATTGAAAATTGAACTAAAAAAGTCTTTGATTTGTCCGACAGTAGGCAGAATCAGAAAGTAGGTCACAGACAGGCCTGGTCCAGGTGAGGAAATCCCCGTCAAGTAACAAAAAACAAAAAAAAACAGAAATGAAAATAAGAAACTAGGCAAGGGGAACTGTCTAAATCCCTTTCAATGCAGCATGTATGTTTTAGAACCAACTTCCACTTCTGATTATAAAAACAAAATAATTAAAAAAGCAAAACAAAATAAAAAAGCGACCAAAACAAAAATAACAAACAAAACAAAATAGAAAAACAACCCCAAAATAACAAACTACTGACCCAAACAATCGAGCAACATGTTTCACACAAGTCTTCTTAA